CCACCACCACCACTGCTGCCGCTGCTGTGGTGACTGTCACCACCATGACGACGACTACTATCAATCTAGTTGTTGCTAGTAGTCAGAAGTTTGTTGATGAATCAAACTCTCACTGGAAGCAACAGTTTAATCACCGAGCAATCACTACCGTCGTTGCAGATATGTTTGGCTAATGCCCACTACATTTACTCAACACAATGAAGACCCAGGAGCCCTAATCGTATTGATGCAAGTAGGACGCGATCTTCGAACCTTAGTGCCAACAGAAGGTGCCTTGTTCACAGCATCTACGGCCAGAAACCGGATGGAGTTGATGCAGTCGGTCTCCACCTTGTGGTGAATTGGAGTGTCGAGGAAAAACGCTACCAATTCAGGCTTGGATAGAACCCTGCAGTGCAACACAATCAGCACTTCTCCTGTGCCAGTCTACTGGCATGATGCCTTCGACTTTGCAGCGGTATGTAAAAAGCTTCTCAACGATATTTCTGACGGCAACGCCATTGTGGACTTGATAGGCAGGGTGTCACAATCAGTGGATGCTGGTGACGATGTTTAGATGCCATGTGCTGCTGAATGGTCAATAAGCGCTAAAGTAAACAACTTTGCCATCGTGTTCATCCAAACTTTCGACTTCAGTTCCGACATAGGTCATCAACCATCCTCTTTCGGCATCCGGAAGCATTCAGCACTGAAAGACAACATTCCGACGTGATGAACAGCTTACGCTATGTCCACATGCAATGTCTGGCTGGTGTGGAGGTTTTACATGCCCTATCCTTCATGTTCTTGCTTGTTTGTGGCTGACGACGGCATGAACGGAAAGCACCGAAACGAACTGTCGAGACCGTCCTGAGACGACGAGACATTGCTCTGAGAAGTGCGTCTCGGAAATGGGGAATCGTGGGCGCTGTTGATCCTGCCTCCGTGTCAGTGCTCACAGCTGCCAACTTCACCGCTTTGCGCTGTCCCTGCGAGCAGTGAGAGTTCACGTCAGGGCATCGGCAGATTGATAGGGTCCGATCGGTTTTGGAGTTATGGTATCAGAAAGTTGTACCCCAGAACTGGGTTGAAGGCTTGTGAACTGTGGGATGCCGGCTTCTCAAGCCAATGCGGCATTCCGGTCCGAGGGCTGCGGGATTCATACAGGCTTAGATTGTTGCGGTTCGTATCTTCAACGAGCCGACACGCAACCACAAAACCCCAAGAACAACCGCGGAGTGTTGCTCTAGGCTTGAATAGCAATGCGGGTTGCATAAGGAAGGCCTGAAGCGATAAAAGGAACTTGCTTCATGCCTCGATGCCTTGCTGTTGTCACTTCGGGTTGTCAGACCGTGGTGGAAAAATATTACGAGTTACTCCAGTATAAGTACCAAAAGTAGCACTTTCGCACCCCCATTTCCAAACACCCTTGAGGGCCTCCCACGACATATCGCATGCCCACTTCAACATGCTGAACCTTTTGCGGCAGTACACCCGAACTCCCGAAAGGTGCCTGGCCTTGCCCTTGGCCGTGACTCGGGTCGCGCAGCCCGCAGCGAGCATCGCGGCGCCCACAGTGGCGGCGCCCATGGAAGTTTGTGGCTGGCTGGCCGTCGCATGCCCGGCAGCGACGCCTGCAACAAGGGAGGAAGAGAAGCTGAGTGACCTCTTGCCAGAATCCAGCCTGCATTCCAAAACTTCGGTCGTTATCACTCGTGGCTCGATCCGTTCATCGACTGAAGCTCATGGAGGCATCGGGGGTCAAGGATTGAAACGCATGTTCCCAGGTACCTGGTTCAACGCGGGCCGCGCTTGGGGTGCTTGGCGGCGCAACCTTGGGAGCAGTCCATCCATCCTTCCATCGACCCATAATCCACCCATGCATCAAGGTGTCGTTTTTTCTATCTACAAAAATATGTGTTTGTCTGTCTCTTTGTGTGTGTGCGGGTGACACGCATATTTGCACCGACACACGAACAAGTCAAGACTCAAGTACATAAGCAAGTTGAATCAATAGTATGGTGTCGAGTAAGAACTCTTGCGACTAGAGAAATCAAGACACAGACCACAGGAAAAATATCGGAATGGACAACAGGTGAAAACCACGTGTCAATGTGGCACTGCTATACTGTACGGAACGCTGGCTGTAGCGTTGCCCAAGTGGCAAAGGTCAAAGCGCCCGCCGAGGCAGTAGCGGCGGCAGCCAGGACCTCAAGGCTTCGGGTGTCGCTTCGAGGTTTCATGTCTTTGGGTTCGTGCTAGTCTGTATCAGTATTTTAGTCAGCCAGCGGTGTTCAAAGACAAGCTAGGGTCGGATGCTAGCGGCGGAGGCAGGGACGGCATGAAACCCACCACAGTTCCGACTACTTTGAGCAGAGGCCCTAGAATGCAGGGTCGTGTACAGGCGTGTCGCTTGTTATCGGGCGAACTCAGGATTTGCAATCTGTATGTGTGGCGTGGCCGCAAGATACACACGCTTTAAGCTGAAACCGAATGGCTTTCAAGGTGCGTAACGTTAGGCAATGCTCCTGGCCTTAGGCCCTAGCATTCAAGAGGCTGCACTCTGACCCACAAGCTGGAGAGACTAGGACCAACCCCATGAGAGTTTGCCCACAGCCATGTCCTCCACTGCCTGGTTATCGACGAACCATCTAAACTGTAAGTGTGCTATGTACCGTCGAGAGCCGCTATACATGTATATATGCATGTTACATTCAGTGCGTATGTATGTACAAGTATGCATACAATCATACCATGAACATGCTTCTACAACGTAGCACATCCTTTTGAGCATCATGGATTACACTCGAGCTGAGATTTGCACAATGCTCTGTCCGACAGCAGCCTACAAGCCCTTAACTCGACAAACATTCCGAGTCCACGGCGGTGTTGCGCTGGCGAGTGGACGGCATTTTGCCTGAACTTCTCTTCAGTCGGACTAAACATCTCATTAGCTCAGAGAAAAGCCAACGTTGAATCGTCTTCTGCTGCTCCAACACTGGGGGCTGCTTCAAGAGTTCAGCATCCCGCTGTCCGGGTCCTGTTTGCGTTGCTAGCCCGCAGTGAGTCTGCTTTCTACCTTGCACACGGCCAGCGGACCCTTCATTTGCGATTTGTACGTCTTCGTTCATAAATTCACCCATGGATATCTGTATGTCCATCTCTCTAGATGTGTGTGTATACATGTTTGCACATTGTGTATATGTACATTATATGTGTGTGTGTGTATGTATATACACAAAGAATGTTATATGTCCACATGCTATGTCTTACATTATATGTTATGTGATATGTGCTATGTGTTGCATGTACTGTATTGCACGCTACAGACAACGCGTTGTATATTGTATATAGCATACTATGTTATATATTGATCACTATTTTGTGTATGAGATACATTATGCTTTGTATAGTGTAATACCATGAACTGAAACGAAACTAACAAGCATGTATATACATATATATATAT